TGTTTGCACATTCTTCTGGGTAGGCGCCGACTCGTGCGACCAATATAACCTCCGCCGGAGCGAGTGAAGGAGTACATGCACACTGATGTGGTCTGGATTGGCAACCCCTCCTCACCTCCGCGTAAGATAGGGCTACTAGAGAACAGTATTCGAGCCCTTGCTGCTGGGAAGGTTCGTCAAAGAGCTAGACCAGGGCCTCTTCTTAATTCACTCGCAGTGTTCACTTGGAAAGGCGCTTTAATGAACAGAGTTTTCTCTCTGGCAGTCAGTGTGGTGGGTTTATCTGGTCGCTCAGCAATATTATTTGCAGCAAAAGCGCCATAACATCCGTTTTTGTTCAACAGGTCCTAGATTTTTCGAAGCTCTTCCCCGATGCTGTCTCTCAAACACGTTTTTCTGACCATTTGGACCAAACACGGGACTAGATTTCGTCTTTGTTAGGGCACAAAGATTCCGAAGCCCGAGCATTGTCTAGACCAGGTTTTCTGCCGATAGACCCTCCTTCGGATGCTACCGTCAGGTTTCTTGTTTAGGGCATCTAAGAATGGGAGAGAAGCAGTTGTTTCCATCTACAGTGCGAACTTGATCGACGGATGCCCGATTTACCTCATTTAATAGGGCAGCTACGTCGGTTCCTGTCCGCTACAAGTCTTATCTATTCACCTTCTGGCATGCTACCTTGTGGGAAGGGTCCAGAGTGACTACGTTACTATCAAGAGTGATTTTCACTTGGAAACCAACCAACGAAACCCAAGGAGCAGCCGGCGTCAATATTGCGCGGCTTAAGTCGCTGCTGGAGATGGCGGGGTCTAAGCGTTTGCGGTGGGCGGGAGAGCCAGCGTGCTCTTGAAACGGCCAGGCAAACCTCAGCACTACCAGAAAGGAATTCCTCCTGGGCGTAAAAACCGCGCATTTATTGTTGAAAGAGTCGAGAGGATGGATTGAATCGGCGAAGTCTACCCCAGCAACAATATGGGGGTGATCATGTGAGGAGCAGATATCAAGACCTAACGTTGTGGGCTGTGCGGCATCCAACCGGGCCGGACCTACTACACTAAGCATCAGGGCAGCACTAGAGGCCAGCTCAAGGTCGACCATCACCGCCTCCACCCGTCCTGTTTTTCGTCGCTAGACAGGGTTCGGCGAGGTAGGTCCGGTACATGACCAAGCCATGTCAACCATTAACGGGGGTGTTGAACACAGTTGGGGCGCAGGTCCCATCGATCTAATACTTCCTGGCGGGCAGCCCCAGTTCGTGCAGAAAATGTCCCCAATTATTGCAGATGATCTTGGTGGAGACACTGAGTAATCATATGCCGACCACAGGAATGTGAGTGGGATCGACTACCTCTTAGATCCGACCCTCGGTCATATCCTCAATAGCAAAAGCCGTCCATTAGCTCGGCAGTTTCGCCGTCTACCATGAGAAAGACATCCAACCATAAAGTCGGGAGCAAGTCTTGTCACAGAGAGGCTTGCACTTTTCAAGTGCGCAGAGCGCGACTGATCTTCTCCAGTCTCTTCAGAAGCGACAGATGTGTCATTTGACCCTCGGATGTAGGAGCATACAGCCGGGAGCGATCCGACGCGAAAGGGGATTCCCGTTTTGTGACCAACTTACCGAGCTATTAGGGGCAAGCCTGTTAGCCTTGCACATAATTGATCGTTCCATTTCATAATCCCCGAATGTTGATTTCAATTTTAGCCCCCCTCCGCCCATGACCGTTCTGACTCTTTCATTACATTTTTTCCCTGTAAGAAATACCCCAATTGTCCTTGACCGGATGTTTGAAGAAAGCAATGAGTTGGCTCAGGTGGTCTTCAAAAATCATCTAAAATCGCTGGTTAGAAAAAAATGAATTAAATGATTTTTTACACAGGATAAAAGACGTCTCCGTCTCAAGTCCGCTGGCCAAAGGACCGCTTAGGTCTAAATCTGTTCAGACGCACTGGCGAACAGGGTGCCTGTCGATTGAAAGAGGTCGGTGCATCTTCCAGTTCCTGGCCCTTGCGCCATCTCGCGGCACTGATGAATTCCGCTGGGAGAGGTACAGCG